CAGGACTGCTGCGAAGGTTCTCTCTGTGGAAGAGCACGAGCCCTGAGCACTAGAGGAAGTCAAGTTCTGGAGGAGTAGCTGCTGAAATAAAACCTCTACCATGGTCCCATTCTTAGCCTCTCTCTGTTCAGTTTTTACATTCTCCTTGGGTGTCATTATCATCTCTCACAGTTTCAACTACTACCAAAATTCTGATAACTCCCAAATCTCTACCTCTAGCCTGGACTGCGGACTGCTTCCCAAGCTTCAGACTCCAAATACTCAGTTCTGTACTGGACGTCCCACATGCTCACCTACTCTAATTCATCCACCCCACCCCACCCCCGCCTTCTAACATTCCTCTCATTGGTCAGCAGCCTGTCTCATCACCTAATTCAGAAACCCAGGCTTCACCCTTCACTCTCACCTGTCCCCCAGTTCCCACCACCAGTTTCTGACCTGACCTGACACAACAGCCTTTTCGCTAATATCCCTGCAACCAGCCCGGCTTTCCTCAAATCCATTCGTACTCCGCTGCCATCCTTCATTCAACAAATACGTGAAACACTCACTTTGTGCTAGGGACAATTCTAAAAATTCACCAGTAAAAAAAGACCAAATCCCCGTTTTTGCATAACTTACCCTGCTATATAGCCCCAGTCAGTCCAACAAAATAAACCTGCCCTAATCACTTTTCCAATTTAAAGTCCTTCAACAGCAACCTAATTATATACAGCGAAAGCTGAAGCTTCCAGAAAGACCACTAGTCCACTGGAAAAGCACAGGTTTTAGAACCAGACAGACCTGGTTCTAAGGAATTCAAATTCTGGTCTTCTAAACTTGGGCAGGTTACCTACCCACCCTAAGCCTAGGTTCCTTCATTTGTGAAGGAAGGATACTGAGATCTTCCTCTCAGATTTGTTGTAGAGATTAGAGATAATGTACTGAGTGCCTACAGTGCCTGGCACCAAGTAGGTGTGTGCTGGCCTGGCGTACAAGGCCCTCAAAATTTGATCTCTGCCTATCTCTCCACAAACTTTATGTTCCAATAACTATGTGTAGTTCTACCCAGTTCCCACACTCTCCACCCTGCAAATAAACACACACACTCCTATTTTTTGTTACCAGCTCCTGCTTATGTCCTCTGTGACAGGCCTAACTCCTACTCACCCTTCAAGATTCAGTTTGGAAAGCACCTTCCTCCAGGAAGCCTTCTCTGCTCTCTGCCAGACAGTTCAATGTCTCTTTTCAGTGCCCCATAGTTGCACAACACTGCTAATTTATCTTCCAAAGAAGGACACTTGAGAGTAAAAGGAGGAGCTATTCATAATTATGCTTAGACAATAAGCAGGAACCAGGATGTCTATTACCATTTATACATCTATGATGGCACTTACCATGCCTGTAATGAAATTCTATTCACCTGTCTGGACCTTCTCCATCCCCAGAAAAACCATAAGCTCCTCAAGGGCAAACCGTATCCATCTTTGTATTCCAAGAACCTAAGTGCCAAGTTAAGCAGTGCTGACTTGAACAAACCCACAATACAAGCTACTAATGTTCACTGCCACAGATATAACTTCTTTGATACTAATTGTGAGCTAAGCTAGTGCATTTTTGTATGGTAATTTTTTTTTTTTTTTAAAGAAGCATGACTCTGAAAAATTAGCTACCAATTATTTAAACAGCAGTCAGGAAGAGCCTGAGAATCTAAGAGAGAGGAAACAAAATCTCTAAAGGGAAGTTACATCAAAAGATACAAAGTTTTCACTTTTATTAAAACTGTACATGCCTCTGGCTTTCAGTATAAGAACAATTCAGCACTGTTCTATCCCTAGTCTGTCTTTCTAAAGCATACTTAAAAAAAAAAGTATCTCTTCTCCAACTTCAAAGGGAAAAAAATGTTTGATGTAAGAATGGTCAGTCATGAATCAAAGTGAAAGATAAAGCATGCAATGAAGAGTTTCTCAAAGCCAGGGAGAATCCATTTAAGGGCATTCAATCTAAAGGGAAATCCACTCAGCTATTTCTCCCAAACAAATTGTTCCTAACAAGTAGGAGGATTTATACCCACCCAACCCCCTAAAGTCTACCTCCTACATCTAGGAAAAACAAGACTACAAAATGTTTGAAAGAACAATATCTACTTCTCAACAACATAATTAACAGCTGCAAAAATCAACCTCCTGGGGCTTACTGCACTACTGAAATTGTCCAGAAGTCTCTTCTTTCCTACCAAAATAGTTTTAAAAGGGTTCCTGGTATCACTTTAGCCACCAATGTGAGCAAGGTTGGGAGCAATATGAAACTGCCCCCAAGCAAGTGCATCTGATCGCCACTGCAAGCACTCCAAATTCACCTGTCCAAAGAGTAATTAGATCTAATCTACTGCCCTATCCTTATAGCTCACTGGAGTCAAGGTTTTCTCTAGCCAGTGTTAAGCCTCACAAACTCTCCAGCACTTGGTTTGTTACAACAATTTTTTTTTTCCCCAAATGAGGAGAGAACTCTAAAAGGTCCCCCTCGCTCACCAACTAGTCCCATCCAAAGGGACAGAAAATTCTAAACAAAAAACAATAAAAGACAGGCAAAACTACACACCATATACCCACAAGTCATCTTTCATGTGTTTAAGAGCACCACAAGTAATTCCAAGTAGGACTTACTATTTTTTAATGAAGAACCAGAAGTAAAAGAAGAGAAAGAACTTACTGGGATAATCTAGCATGAGTTGAGCCAATGATAAAACAGAAATAGCAACCTAGATACTGGAGTGCAGATCACCGTAAATTCAAGAACCTAAAGAGGCTTAAGAGTGGACCCCAAATTCCTAGAGACTTTCAACTAGGAAGAGCCAACAAAGCTTTGAGACGAGCAGACTTTAGAATTCTGTCAAGACATAAATAACACAGGATTTAAAGGTACTTTCACCTACCTCTAACAAGTAAAACTCTGGCAAGCAAATTTCCTGTTGGTGCCCAGAGTCATAAACACCTGCAGAAGAGAAACTCAGAGGAGAATTTCAATGAACAGACTCAACCTCCAGGAGAAAGAGAGCATGTCCTTTTGGCTCTCCTCTACTCTCCTTCAGGTAAAGCAACAATGGAGAAATCCTGAAACTACCAAGAGATCCTGAAAGCTAAACAAAGCTTCCAAATCTGACTGAACCTGAAAAAAGTATTTAGGTACTTCAAAATCTGCAAATTTCATATGCCAAACCAAAACAAATTAACTGAAGCACAAAACTTCAGCATACAAACTAATTGCTACTTCTGTTTCTTGGGCAACAAATGCCTGGGGAAGAGGATCAGGTACACCAGTTTAATTTCCCCTATAAACCAAACAGAGTTAGTTCTTCTAAGTCAATAACTCAGTTTTACAGGCTCCAAGAACTTAAAAGGTGTACCAAAGATTTGTAAAAACCTCCAACACATATTTGTCTTTCTTTGCACAACACCTCTGAGGCAGGAACCCTACTTCCCAATAAAATGAAAGATGAGAAGGTTGAGCTTCATTCATCATTAAAAGTGAATTACAGCAATTACATATAAACTACAGGGTGTCAAGAGACAAGTATACTATCTGCACTGTAACCCTGCTTTGTGGCAGTTATGAGGAAGTGACATCTCTGAGACAAGCATAACCTGTTACTACTGTCATCAGCAAGGTTTTTATAAGAACACGTCTCGAAGCGTCTTAGCTTTGTGGGTGCAAATCCAAAAGGAAGATATTTCACTTGCAAGTCCTCTGACACTTTGAGAACAGAAAATTCACAACCCCCATTACAAGGCAGCTTCAAATACTCAAATTACTCTCTCCTTTGCTAAGTCCTCAGTGAGCATTATCTTCAGAGACACTTGGTCTTTGCCCAACGCTTCATGTATACATGCACCAGGACACTAAGGAAGAGAGAACACACGCATACATTCTTTGCAAAATGTAGTTAGTTCTCTGCAGAGTGCCTGTTTCCAGTCTAGCTTGTGAAGTCCGGTCAGCAGAATCTCAGAAGTGTGGTACGTGGGCCACCTGCTTTACAACCAACCCGAGAAGCTGGTTAAAATGAAGATATTCAAGCTCTACTCCAGAATCTCAGACTCCGTAGGTCTTAAGTAGGGCCCTAGGATGAGCATTCCTAACAACCTCCCCAGGTGTCCCCACAGGACACTGAAGTTTGAGAACCAAGGCTTAGGGTTCAAGCTGGGAGTAAGCATTTGCTTCCCTCCATACACCTGGTTTAGATTGCGAAAGCTCAAAATGCCACTCGCGTCCTTGAAAGTGGGGGCTCTTTCCAACCCCTGGAGTCAAACGCACCACCCCATTGCCCACCAGGAAGCGAGGGAGGAGCTTCCGACCCTTCCCGGAAACCTAACTCCCCCGAGTGCATAAACGAAGCTTCCCCAGACCCCCTAGAAGCTGCCAAATAGTGGGGGAGGGGAGGCGGGGGCCCCGCCGCCCGGAGGGGGAGGAGCCGGCCTGCCAGCTCGACCCCTCCGCAGGAATTTAGAGGGGGGACGTGCAGAAAAAGGCGCCACCTCCGACCCGGCGGGGGACCTCTCCCCACCCAACGCCTTGGGGGATTGTCCCTTTCCAGCAGAAAGGGTGGCCCGCCCCCTCCTACAGTGGGCAGGGCTTCGCCCCTCCCCCCTCCCAGTGGGGGGTGCTCGGCAAGCCAACCCCCCACGCCCCCCATCGAGCCCCCCTCGGCGGCCCGCCTCACCAGGCGCGCGGCCTCTGCCCACGTGCGCTCCTTCTTCCTCTTCTGTTTGTCCTTCATCCTCCCTCCCCGGCGGCGGCGGCGGCGGCGGCGGCGTCGGCGGCTCCACGCGGGACCTCCGGGCGGGGTGGGCTGGGGCGGCGGCGGCGGCGGCGGCGCGGGGCGGCGGCGGCGGCGGCGGCGGCGGGGGGGCGCGTGGCGGCGGCGGCGGCGCGCGAAAACTCGGGTGCGGCCGGGGAGAGGGGGCGGGCGCGCGGGGACCGGCTGGCGCTAGACCCGGCGCGAGGGCGGCGGTGGGGGAGGGGTGGCGGCTCCACGCGCCCGCGCTGCGTCAGTCGCCCGCGGCGGCGGCGGCAGCAGCAGCGAAGGAGAAGGAGGTAGCCCCGCGATCGCTAAGGAATGCGGCGGCTCCGCATAACCACGGGGTCAGAGGTCACGGCTCCGGCCTCCGCTTTCCCGCTCTACTGCGAGGCCAAGACCGGACTGGCGGCGGGGCGGGAAGGCGAGACGCGGCTTTCCCTTCGGCGCCCGGGTGTGTGCGTGTCTGCCGTGGGTGTGTGTGAGTGTGTGTGAAGAGTGAGGAGGGGGAGTGTGGGGTTTTTTTTTTTTTGAACAAAAACAAACCGAAAGGGCGGCTGGGAGTCGTAGTCCCGGCTGCCTCTCTGGCCTCCCCCGCTCCGGAAGAATATGGCTGAGTGAAACTCTTGGACCACACTTCCCAGCGTGCCCCGCGGCCCGTCTTTTCCGCCCTCCCCTCCCTTCCTCTGCCCCGCGCAGAGCTCGGTAAGGAAGGGGGCCGGACAGTCGTTCGGGAAAGGGGCTGGGCGGAGTCTCGCGAGGTGCGGGAACTGGCTGGGGGCCTGAGGCATTCTGGGAGGCGATGCTGGGAAGGGGCGGTGGCCCTGTGCCCCACTACCGTGAGCTGTGTTTAACCCCTTCGGCGCTTCTCGCCTTGGGGCCGCCACGCGGGTAAAGGGGGGGGATCGAGAACTGGTAGCTCGACTTCCAGCGCCCACTTTGTGCCTCTCTCCGTCTGAGCGGTTTTCACTGACACTTCTTGTAGGTAACAAGAGACAGGACTTTCCCTTTTGGTCCTCCCCTAAATGACTCACTGCCGCATAATAATGAGACAAAAAGATACTCATACCAGTAAAACGGTTATTTCACGATTGATGAACCTAGACAGTTCTCCATTTCCTCCTGTGCTTTCATGCCGCTATGTGTTTGCAGAAGCTGCACACGCAGCCTACAGCGTTCATGCCACCTGGTGAACTTGGTGATACGATTACGGGTTGTGTGAAGAACTTGGACTTTGGGGACATACTTACCAGAATGCACCTGAGGCCTTTTTAGAGGCAATATCCTGAAGGGAACACAGAGCCTGGAGTCAAACGGACCTAGACCGGAATTCTGGCTAAGCCACTCCATGGCTATCAGCCTAATACCTCACAGCATTATTGAGATTAAAATCAACATAAAACACCTGGCAGGTTGGAAGAGGGTGTGAAGGGGGACCATGACATTAGGTCCATATAATTTGGCTCCTGACATAAAGCAAGTGTTTAATAATTGGTACCAGCTGAGGGGCAATGGGCACTGTACTTACCCTCTCTGAGCCTTGGTTGCAGAGCATGAAATGAAATGATGTTCAGAGTACCCAACACATATGTTTTCTGTGCCTATTTGTTGAACCAGTCAACGTCCAGAAACATTCCTAGAATCAGTCCTAAACTGGATAGTGGCCAGTTCTTTAAAATTAGGGAGGAAGGGTCAATGGCCACATTTGAAAGTTATCCCAGGGTGAGGAAGCATACCCTCCACTCCCTGGTGTTAGCGCAGTGCTTAGGGAAGATCAACACGTGCTGCCAAAGGCTAACATCATGGAGTTCAGTGCTCCTGCTTCTAACACTCGTCACACAGAAGACTTGCACGTCCAATAAACAAAACCCTGCAAAGTGAATAGACTGTAGAAGGTGAAATAGGCATGTTTTTAAAATCTTCTGTCCGCTTCTAACTTCACCCCAATAGGGGGAAAGGAAGAACCCCACCTCCACGACCAAAAAATTGTTTGACCTGATTTTTCACAAAGGGTTGGTGGTGGTGGTGGTGGTTTAATCTACAGCAGACGCGGTGACCTTTGACAAGTCATTTGGCTTGTTTCAAATGTTTTCTTCTCGAGTAGCTTCATCCCCCTCTGACCTCCAAGGAGTCAACTAGAGAAGATTCATTCTAAAATTTACATGTTTAGTACAGGCACTGTGGTTGGCAGAATAACGTCCTCCTCGCCCCCTCCCCCCCCCAAAAATTAAAACTATCTATGCCCTAGTCCCTGGAACCTGTGAATATGTTACATTCCATGGCAAAAGGGACATTGCAGATGGAATTAAGGACCATAAAATAGGGAGATTATCCTGGATTATCAGGGTGGACCCAGTGTAATCACATGGACCCTTAAAAAGCAGAAGAGGAATGCAAAAGAGATGCTTTGGAGAGAAGAGGCAGGAGAAGAATCCGATTCGAAGCTTGAGAGGAACTCAACCCACTGTTGATGAAGGGGCCATGAGCCAGGGAACGTAGGCAGCCTTTAGAAGCTGAGAACAAGCCCTGTCAGCAAGTAATGGGACCTCAGTCCTGCGGCCTCATGGGACTGAGCTTTCAAACCTGACTGAGCTTGGAAGCAGGTTCTCCCCACCCCAACCCCGCAATCTGCAGAGAGGAGTCCAGTCCTACTAACACCTTGATTTTAGCTGTATCCAAGAACCAGCTAAGCCACACAGTCCAGACTTCTGACCCATAGAAAGTGTGAGACAGAAGGTTTTAAGCCACTAAATCTGGTAACTTTTTACAGTAGCAAAAGAAAGCTAATGTAGGCAGGCACCGTAGAAACGCCTTTAAGTTTTTCAGTCAATTCTGCCTGGCTGTCAGTTGGGTCAAGCCATGGGGGAATCCAGATGTGAATGTTCAAGGTCTCTGCCCTTGCAGGATCAAACGGAAACTAATGACAACATCATAGTTAAGTGGGAAAAGAGTATGTTCAGAGGACTATACAAGATGTGTGTTAGAAAATTGGCTTTAGTCACTAAACCTTAAATAGCTGTCATTTTTTAAGTTAATGACACTCATGAGTGTATTCTCTTGTCACAAGCACCAAAAACAAACCTATACATTTTTTTGGTGTGTGTTTTTCTGTTTTTAATCACAGTGCTTTTATTACAGAATTTCTTTCAAGTCAACACAGGTGCCACAGGACAGTATAAGATAAACGGGACTGATATCCAACCCTGCCCTGTTTGGGGGTGAGTCAGTGTTTTCAAACTGCACAGTTATGAGCAAAGCACACATTCAGGAATCTGAATAACAAACACACCACCAGCGACCCAAGCATTTCCAAAAGGACACATACACCCCTGGAACCTCACTATGAGATAATGTATTGCCACTGGCTTTGGACTTCAGCAGGCCTGGGTTTAAATCTTCTTGCAGTCATTCTCCAGCTGTGTGGTCTTGGTCAAGTTATGAAAACTCCCATTGACTCAGAGCCATCAATTTAGACAATGGGGTACATAAACTCAAAGGGTGGAATTGGGATTAAATGGGACCTTTGTAAAACACCTTGAACACAGTAGACTCACTAAAGGCCAGCTCTCTTTGCCACCAAGAAGGTTTAGAGTCTGAAGTGTAAAAAGTGTCTCATTTTTATACTTCAGTGAACCTTCAGTGAACCCTGAAACAGAGTTTGCCACACTAACGAATGTTCTCTCCCAGTGACTCTGTCCCCATTTTCAAATGAAGTTGAGGTTCAGAGAGGTCAAATTACCTCCCTCAGGTCCCAGTGAGATCACATCTGCTAAACTTCCAGCATAGCAGATGATCCACAAATGTGCACCTCTCCTGGTACCTCCCACATCTCATTTCCTTGTATGATTACTGGTCTAATGTCTGTGCTCTTGTTAGCATCTTCTTGAGGTCATTATCACACCCCCAACATCTGGTACAGTCTTGGCACATGGTAGGCACTCAATCTGGATGACCTTACTCAATAATTACTTTATTGGACAAAGTCCCTAACTGCTAATTTCCCATGGAATAAGCCCTATCCAGTATTTGGAACCTGCCCAGGCAGAATTGGTAAACAGTGAGGCATGATTCACCCAAACAGACCTATGCAAGTTGTAAAGATGCTTAGAGATGGAGACCTCCTCACCTCACTGTGGTCATTAGGCACAGAATCTGCCCACGTGATGGGCAGCCCTAACTCAGCTTACCTGCCATTCACCATCACTTAAATCCATTCCTGTTTTTTCAGTCTCCCATGAGGCTGAAAACGTGTTTAAATCCCATTTTACGCCACCAAAATGTTAATAATGGTTACTTCTGGTTTGTGAGACTACAGCCAATTTGGGGGGAGGGTGTTTCCTACAAAGTATTACTTTTTTTTTTTTTTTTTTTGTGGTACGCGGGCCTCTCACTGTTGTGGCCTCTCCCCTTGTGGAGCACAGGCTCCGGACGCGCAGGCTCAGCGGCCATGGCTCACGGGCCCAGCCGCTCCGCGGCATGTGCGATCTTCCCGGACCGGGGCACGAACCCGTGTCCCCTGCATCGGCAGGCGGACTCTCAACTACTGTGCCACCAGGGAAGCCCACATTATTTTAATTGAAAAAAATTATTTTTCATCTAAACCACAAAACCAAGTGCTTAGATTAAGGTGGCAGATATAATGTTTTTCACTTCTTTACACTTGTCTGTAGTTTCCAAATCTTCTAGAATGAGTATGTGCTACTCGTGCTCATTTGAGTGTGATGAAAAAAATAAAGATTTTAATGCTCAACAGTATGAGAACACCTTTAATAATACTTCTTTTCATTTTACTAAGAAGATTTGTGGGGGGCGTCCCTGGTGGCGCAGTGGTTGAGAGTCCGCCTGCCGATGCAGGGGACAGGGGCTCGTGCCCCGGTCTGGGAAGATGGGCCCGTGAGCCATGGCCGCTGAGCCTGCGCGTCCGGAGCCTGTGCTCCGCAACGGGAGAGGCCACAACAGTGAGAGGCCCGCGTACCGCAAAAAAAAAAAAAAAAAAAAAAAAAAAAAAAAAGATTTGTGGGATCCCCTCCCAAATGGCCTCAAAGGATGACCTGAGCTAGTTTTTACTAGAAGTATAGATAATAAAAGCCCTCTGCTTGATTCTTTAAGGTTTTCAGGTGGAGATTTCAGGACCCCATTAAGAAGCCCATCCCAATTTTCAATATCTCTTAATACTAAAGAAATGTACTCATCTACCATAAATCTTTCTCATCTCAATATAAGACATTTCCTCTATTCCTTCTCTGTGAAGAAGGAAAAGAAACTTTAAAGTGCATTTAAACACCAAAATTTTAAGAGTGGTGCTAATTTGATGAAATTGGGTTGTTTCTTCATTTTCAATTTTTTATACTGAAAACATTAACTTACACACTGCCTCAAATGGCTTTTGTTCCCCCTCCTCTTTAATGATTGCTAATAACTGAATGTGAAGTTGAGGGTTTGAATAAATGGCTTTCACAGGCTTTGACTCTTGAATATCACAACCCACCATGTGAGCTGAGTAAGAAAATTGGCAGTGCCAGTAAAGCAAAGGAGCTTTCCCCAAGATCACACAATTAGTTGTTGTTGGAGTCGGGATTTAAACTTAAAACTCCTCATTCCAAATTCCTTCTAAGGCACTGTGGTAGCCAGCCTCCAAAATTCCCCCCCGCCCCCGCCCCATGATTCCCAGCCCTGACATTCATATCCTTTTTAGTCCCCTCCCA